ATATAATGAAGAATATAAAACTTACTTATCGACAATGTCGTATTTGTTGTCGATTTATTTGTAGGTTCATCAGCTATAAAAATGGAAACATTATTTTATACGGTATGAAACTTAATATGCATTTGAGATTATATCCGATATTAGCAATAATTATTCCAATTAATATGTATGAGATAAATTACAATGACAATTTTTTAAAAATTTATATAAAATGAAGAATACAGTACTTACATATCGAGACTGTCGTATTTGTTGTCGGTATTTCTGTAGGCTCATCAGCTATATAAATTGAAACATAATTTTTTACGGTATCAAACTTAATATGTATTTGAAGTAATATCCGAATTTAAAAATATTATTTTAATTGATATGTATGATGTAAATTACAATGACTAATTTTTAAAAAATTACCATATAATAAAAATATAGAACTTACTTATTGACACTGTCGTATTTGTTGTTGGTTCTTCTGTAGGTTCATCAGCTATAAATATCGAAATATTATTTTTCACAGTATTAAACTTAATATGTACTTGAAGTAATATCCGATATTAGCAATAATTATTTCAATTGATATGTATGATGTAAATAACAATGATAGATTTTTAAAAAATTCACATAAAATGAAGAAAAAAGAACTTACTTATCGACACTTTCGTATTTGTTGTCGGTTTTTCTGTAGGTTCAGCAGCTATAAAAATCGAAACATAATATTTTTGGTAAGAAAAAGTTTACTAATACTTAATATGTCCTTGAAGTAATATACGAGGTTAGCAAGAATTATTTTAATTGATATGTATGATGTAAATTACAATGACAAATATCTAAAAAATTTACAAATAATGACATATACAGAACTTACTTATCGACACTGTCGTATTCGTTGTCGGTTCTTTTGGAAGTTTATCAGCTATAAAAATAAAAACATAATTTGTTACGGTATTAAAAAGTTTATTTATACTTAATATGTACTTGAAGTAATTTTCGAGGTCAGCAATAATTATTTTAATTTGTATGTATGATGTAAATTACAATTAGATGTATTTTAATGTAGACGTATTTCGGATTATCCGAACAAAAATATATGCAAAATTTTATTAACTTTTTCGAAGACTAAACTTGAGATCAAAGTGCGAGATACTTTGAATTACAGCAGTACCCCTATATTACGGTAGATACGTTTTGTGTTTTATGAATTATATGTTGTACGAGTCTTTTATATATATGACCTAATTACAACTTGTCACCTGTGCAGTTTAGGGACTATGGCTGTTTGAAATGGTTTCTTTCATAAAATTAATCTATTCTAGACTAATTTTACTTAACCCTCCGTAAGTCGCTAGGAATGGGGCCCTTACTTGAGTCGCATGGGTCTTACAGACCCAGTGTTTTTAATATGAAATAATTCAATTTTATCTATCGCGTAAAGAAACTACAGTTTCTTAGTTGGATTCTGCGCTTTGTTTTCTATCTAGTGATATAAATTACTTGCGTATTGACAAAATGAATTTATTAATATTTATTTTTATGTAATTCGATACGAAAAACGCAAAAAAATAAACATATCAAATTTCAACTCGCTGTAATTTATCTCCTGTTTCACCGATTGCCATCGGGTTTGTTTGTAAGTGGGGAAGAAATATGACACTTTCAAGCGAAGTGAGTAGAACTTTTGCACTACTGCGAGAAAATTTGTCAACCGACCCCGCGTTACCCCCTACCGCGAAAGTCAATAAACGTTAATTGTTTTATGACTCTATTTTCAACACTTCTTTTCTGAGTTGTAAATCGACTAATTGACAAAGATTTTACTTCATTTTACTCATAAGAATGTTGTCTTTATGATTTAATAGATAGTTTCGTATGATTTTTAGACATAAATTTTATTTTTAATTTTTTATCTGATATAGTCGTGTGTTAGGCTTAACTCGATCACCTATTTTCAAAAATTGACATCGTTCAAAATATTATAGAATCCATCAAAATTATTTGCTTATAGTTTAGTTATAAATGTTTTCTGTGCATGAAAAGAAGCGATCGAAAAAATAATGGGTGGACCATCAAAAATTCGGCAATTTACGACATGCTCTCAATTCTGAAATTTGTTTTCTTCATAATATAAAATTTTTACAAAATAATACTTAAAAAATACATCCATGTCAATACCTGAATGTTATAAAAATGCAATTATCAAAAATTTTGTAATTTTCACAATTTGTATTGTCATAATTTATTTTTGTTTTTTTCTGTCGCGCGTTGCGTATTGCGCGACAACAAAGTCGTAACGCGATTAAACGCAGCGATTTCATTTATAATTACTTAAAATGTAGTTTACGTTCTTGTTTTAGTTTTGTTTTGTTGTTTAGCGATGGAAAATAAATAGATAATAATTGCAGATAACAATTTAAAGTATTTTTATCAGATTAATTTAGATTATTTGATTTTACAATAATGATAGCTATGCGATATGATTGTCGCATAGTTGTAATTTTTCACTTTATATCTAATTAGCTCTCATAATGTTTAGGGGCTAATTAGCTAACATGTAGTTCTTTTATTTCGTTTGATCGAGTAAGCATCTTCTCAGAATTGTCTTGTGGGAAATTGACTGCGATAAGAATTAGCCTTTCACTTAAATCAATGTCAGAATGTAAATAAAAGTTAGTTAATCGCCATTTTCATCGTTTTCAGCTCTAATTTCGCTACTTTTCATTTTAATTGACGTTATTTAAACAAATGTTTGTTTTGTCAGGAACATTCAGGAGTAAAATTACCAGAATTACGGCTCTAAAATGAAGAAGATAGCTATTTGTAAGGTTTGCTTACATTCTGACTTTAATCACGTTGATTGGTTCTTCGCGGGAAAATCCAGACCAGATGGTTCTGAAGAAACCTCTCATTCGTTGAACTTAAATCAGTCATAATATAAATTACCAATTACAGTGTAATAGGCGTAGAAACAAAAATTTTAAAGCCAATTAACAGCAATAACATCTTCCATAGACTTACTATAGAGAGTTGGAGTTTCCCGGGAATATTTATTGCTAGACAGTTTTGAGAACATGCTTACTCGTATATACATTGTGAAACAATATTTAATTAACAATTTATAGCTCAAAACGCGAATAAAACAAGCGAATTTATAGCGATTGTTTACATTTGATTTCCAAGATCATTGCCGAAAGGGGGGAGATATTTCCCGGCAATTTATAGCTAGACTGTTTTCACAAGTTTCCCATTGGTTAGTAAATGTAAAAAAATGCCAACTTGCATCGTCTAATATACGAAGAATCATCATAAGTAATATATAAAAATTATATGATAAAAATAGAATAATAATTAAAATGATTAAAAGTTAATTAGACATTAATTTTGAAAACAATATTAAAAAAAAAAAAAACAAAAATATAAATATATAAATAAATAACGATATTATAAAGTATAATAGACACCGCGCGACAACTTCAGCGCGATAAAGTTATTGCGACACTCGCTATCGGCAACGGCGACAAATTAATTGACGTTTTTTTACCCCCTCCGTGAGTCGCATGGGTCTGTCATACCCATGCGACTCGTAAAGCATTTTTTTTCTAAAAAATGAGCGTTGCTATGCAAAAAATTTTAACAGCATGTTAATCTAATTAAAAAGTTTGAAGAATATTAATTTTTTCAAATTTTTCAAAAAATATTTAATAGTAAAAAATTTTGACTAAAAATCGCGTCGGGTCTGTCAGACCCATGCGACTAACAGAAGGTTAATATTTCTAAAACACGTATAATTTTTTTTGAATAATCCATATAAACTATGATATAAACAAAATATTGTAGGATTATTTACCGAGTGTTCACCGTTCGTCGACGCCATTGGTTAAGCTTTTTTTCGTCGCGGAGCAGTGGATCGAACGGCGGGCGTGTGTTTTTTGATAAGTTATTTTTCTGGGAAAAATTCGCTGAACTATGGAAACATCATTAATATAGGGGAAGGTCGTGCAAGATGGGGCCATGGGGTAAGACGGGGACGTTTGTGTATTCGTGGTTAACGTGCTTTCATCTAGCTGTTATTTGTGGAACTAAATGTCAACCTCAAAGGGATCACAGAACAAGAGTACGTCGAATTGGTTTCTTTGTTTGGAAGTAAGACAGTTTTCTATGTTTCAGCAATACTTCGTTTAATTTTACGTACGCTACAAAGTTTCTACAAAGTAAGCATCATTGCAAACCTTTAAGTTACCTTTTAGATGAAGTTATTATGGTATTCGAAGTAACCTTTAAGTCTGAAATTGTTTAGTTTTTAAATAAAGTCGACCCGTGTTTGAAGTCAGTATGAAGAGTGCACGTTGAGGCGAGATAGTGGAGGCAAGACGGGGTACCCCATCTTGCACAAGGTTGACCATGAATTCTACTGCTGGTTAGAGGCACTGCAATATAGTGCAGCGAAGTAGTTTTAAATTTGTTGTCATTGAAAATTCTATATCATTTTTTCGAATATATAAAATACAGTAGAACCTCCATTATCCGGATTTTCGATTATGCGGATTGTTCAAAATAAACAAAAATTTTACGAATTTTTTGATTTGCACTTGGCGAATTACGACACTGTTTATGTACGTGACGGAATGCATAACTTTTTTTGTTTTAACAACGTCTCACCCAGCACAGTGGTCGTAAACTCTTAAATATGTTTTACGTAGTAATAAAAATATAACTTGATGTATGTATTTGTAAATAATTTATATTCAAATTACATCATTTCTATGACCAAGGGCGGCGTAAGGCATGGACGACGTGGGCCACCGCCTATGCCTCGCGGTCCGAAGGGCCTCGCGTTTCGAAGGTTTATGCATTACTTAAAAGCCGCGAACACGACGAAAAAATTTTACTCGTCATAAAACGATAAATAGTTTGTCAAATTTTTATTCATAAAAATGCAGTTTCAACTGCTTTTTATTTTATAAAATCCGTCTCCTTGCGCCACCAGAGGGCCTTTTAAACAATAGGTAGTCTATTAGCGTTGGTCAGTAGTAGTACAAATTCAATACGAACGTTTGTTTCTTGAAAATTTGATCACGATTTAAATACAGTATTTACTTTTAATGTTATCGATATGCCATCGAAAAGAAAACGTGTTGTATTATCATTACAAGACAAATTAAAGTATTTGTTTCGATTATCCGAATTTTTTGTTATCTGGACTACCTTCATTTCCAATTAGTCCGGATAATCGAGGTTCTACTGTAATAAGTTTAAAAATGATCTATTTATAGAAAATGAAATTATCCACTTTTAAATCATATGTAACTGTAATAAATTTATACAGTACATACTGTATTACTGTACTTCATTATTTAAATTTTACGTTTTATTTTATTTGTGAAAACATTTTTTAAATTTAAATACTATCTTAACAAGAAATAAAATGTAAGATAACAAATCGAAATAAAAATTTTTTCCACGAAAAAAATATAGTCTGCTTACAAAATACAGAAACTGAGCATGCGCGAAATGACAATACTGTCTAGTGAAGTAAATACGAGTAAGTTTAAACTTTTATATTTATTTATTCGGAAAATAATAATAAATATAGCCGTTGTGATAAATGGGCACACTGTTCTTGTCTCAATATTGAAGAAAACGACAGTTTAACCATTTTAATTTGTTTTCCTTGAATATAAAAATAATATTCCCATCTTACCCCACGGGTGGGGCAAGATGGTGCATTTACATATAATTTTAAAATATTAAATTTTTTTGTTTTTAAAAACGTTTTTCGAAAATTACATTTTGTATTGTATATTACCGAAAGTTGTAGTTGCTGAGAATAAACAAATTATTGTTCTCATTAAAGTGGTTGCCATTTTATGGCTTTTCAAACTGTAACATCCTCATCCTGCCCCACCTTCCCCTAAATAT